CTGATCAAATGGTCTTCATCTGTGAAATATAATATACAGAGTTCTACCGGATAAATACCCAACAAGTGGTCCTGCCTGGAGGGCAGGAACATACTTCTTCATGGAGAGTTCAGTTGACACATTTATTAAAAGTCTTAAAGTCCACGGTAACAAACCTGGTGGTTAAAACATCTCATCTTCTAACTATTTGACTTTTGTAGGCTCAGTGGCATGTATCTCCCTTGGAAGGAGAGCTATAGCTCCATCTCCTATGAACAAGAGCAACACACACGTGGCTACGGAGTATATAAGTGGATGAAATACGGAAGAGGAAAGCCATTTGCAGAACAGAGCAATCAAAAACACTTTATGAAATGGAGAAGTCTTAAAGCGCAGGCAGACTTGTATATACAGTCATTAACCAACAGAAGTGTTTGTAGCTGCAGATACAATAGCAGGACATTCATCTTCTTCGGGAGAAGACAGAAGCATGGTTGCTGGAAAGTTTAACTCAAAGGCTTCCTGGATCAGTTAACTTGCAAGGCAGACCACCAACACCTAGTGGGCTTGAAGCAGATTTTTTTCTTTTTCCAAGAAAGTTGCAGAGCATACAGAGCTCATCCCCCAACCTCAAGCAAGTTTTCAGCAACACCGTTCTCAAATACCTCTACATCCTACTCCAGGAGAGCGCAAGCTGTCCAAGAGCTGCCAGCCATCATCCAGGAGGGAGTTGGAATTACGGGGGAAGTGGTGAAGGGCAAAGGAAAAAAGCCCCTTTTTCTAACAGAGACTACTTTCATTTCAACATAACAGGATCTGAGCAGTACAGTGAAAAAAGCCAACAAAATATTTTTTTTTTAAAATGTAAACATTCTCTGCATAAGGTGCAGGGTCTTGGATGTATTTACAGTGACATAGAAAAGAGTCTGTAAAATACAGATCAAGAGCCAGAAATGTCGCTACCGCTTAATGCTTCTGAAGAAGATAGAAATGGAGAAAGGTACAGCATTCAGTTCCTCAACACTTACACAGCTAATATGCTTTCAAAACTCCATGGCTAAAAGCATCCCACCATTGTAACAAACTAAGATTTTTTTTTTAACTTTTTACATTATTTACTAACAATGGATATATATGCAGAAGCATGTCATACTACAGCAGTATTTTACCAGTCTGCTTTACCAAAGGTTACGTGCGTTGCCATGTGTTGCCTTGTTGCTCCAACAGACCCCTCTTTCCTCTCCTCCCCAAAACAACTTTATGCGAAAGGCAAAGAGGAGCTGGGGTTTTGTTTGGTTGCTCCCAGGATGAGGTTTTTTTTGTTGTTGTTGTTCCTACTACTTTTAGCATTGGGGTGTCTATTAAAAAACCCAACTTATTACACTGCTGACTTGCATAATTTAGTTTTCAAAAATATTTCCCCAATTCAGAGAAGTAAAGGCTTTCAGAAAACTAAAAAAAGTTCTTGCAGTGCAGCTATTCCATGCTGTGTTTTGTGCAGAGGACGCCAGGTAACCGTGATGCACAAAGAGCCAAGGCAGTCACTGAAGCTTATGGGAGCTCAGAAGGAGCAGCTGTCCCTTGGCTGTGGAAGATGACCCTGAGCATCCTTCTGCAGCACACTGGGCAACGTACCTACAGCACCCGTGGCTTTTCTGGAGCTCCCTTGCCCCAGCAGACTACATGTGTTCGTGCCTCTCTGCCTTTCAAGCTGTTCAGGAGTGCGGACTTTCATGAGGTTATTATTTTAAGGTTAGAGAGAAGCAACAGTAAAGAGTATAAAAATTTGAATCACATCAAACAGACCTGTAACTAAAATGGTAAAAAAATGTAATCTACTGGCATCAGTTCATAGCCAGAGCTAATCAGTACTGCCACAAAGGGCTGATGGGTCTAACAAATAAAAAATACCCTACTACTCCTCACTTGTCTGCACTTGGCATTGCAGTTCATGGCTGCATGTGTTACAAATCCCACTGCATTCAACTCTAACCCAGATCCCACACAGCACTGGGCAGCACACCAACCAGCATACCAAAGCCCAGCTCGGGCTGTGTGACCAGCGGCATGCAGCTCAATGTACAGCCACGCTGCAAAGGCAGATGCACACACCAGCATGCTGCTCCTCTCCATCCTTCCCACGAGCCGCCAGCAGTGTTGGCCACGCAGACCTGCGCTGGTCCTGCCTTCTCACCAGGACTGCCACGCCAGCTGAACACCGGTTTAGCACTGTGTTAGTCTCACTGTAGCCATGCCTGCTCCGCTCTGCAGTTAAAGCAGCACTCCCTCACTCCCTCCCTCCTCCAGGCACACAGGGAGCCCCGCTCTGCCGCTGGAACCTGCACCAGTCCCCTGGGAGCCCCAGGCTGGTTTCCTGCACTGGCGTTTGCACAGAAGACCATCTCGTAGGACAAAGAAAAGGCACTGCAGAGACAGAAATGACTGTTCTCTCAGCGTATGCTGCAACCTCTAGTTACATACATGGGATACGTTAGCCAACATCCTGTATGCCTTCATTATTGATACTTTTTTAAATATATATACTGAAACTTAGAATTCTTTCCTAATACAAATCTTGTAAAATTTGTTTCCAGCAGTGTATGTGCTTAGCATATATGTAATTTTATACAGAAGAGGTTGAAAAGTCTTCATGTTCACATACAGAAGCATTTTACCATTGATTTTTTTTCAGTTTTAGATATGTGCTTGAGGGACAAGAGAAGGAGGGAGGCTTTTAGAGAAAAGAATATTCTCATGAACCAATTCTCTGTTCTACTCAAAGCCCACTAATGACATGGCCTTGATATCATCACCTTGCTCTCCCCCATAAAAGCAATTAATATAAAACATGGTCATCTGTTACAGCGTAATAAAACAAAACCATTAAGAGGGGGGAGAGAAAAAGAAGGACCTCTCCCAGCCCCTCCATGCTGTAATCTCAAAAACAGTACACGATGACAATTGCCTGAACGAAAACAGAAAAAGAAAAAAAACCTCAACAAAATGTATCCTACAAAAATATGAAGTAGTGTTTTAGTGTTCACAGTTACACAACTGTCACCCTTGTTTGCTCCTCCTTAATCTATCACGATTTCCCCCCTTCCAGAAGGGACTGCAGGGAAATGACATTGTAAAGACCATTTATACGGAGATGTAAGTTATGCCTTATGAGACAAGTAGTGTTTTCCTGGCATGAAACCATCCTTTGCCCAGTGAAAATCCAGGAGATTTTGGAGCTGTTTATCTACTGAATATTTTTTCCCCCTCTGGTATGCAAAAGATCTGGCTGCAAAACTCCAGTATAGTAAATTATATTTGTCTTAACAAAAAACCTTCACAATAAAAAACTTTTGTTATAGATTAGTATGTATCAACTTTGATTTCATCTTTAATAAGAAAAAAAAGAAAAAAGAAAACCAAGTCACTTTGGTGTTTAGGAGAACAAAGAACTAGTTTTCCTTCACACAGCTCCCCCACTGCACTTCAGTTATCCTGTACCAAACCGGGGCTAAAGGAGCTGGCAGAAAACATAGGCTTAATACAACACAGAGACCAAAATGAAACCTATATTTATTTGGGGTAGGGTGGGAAATGCATGTAAAATGTGGATCTGTTTTCCAACCATCAACATAAATTCTGGGCCTGCTTCCATCTGCTGGGAAAGACTCACGACATTGTACAAGTGACCTCTGCTCGTTCTGGCTCTATGCTGATGCTCACGGAGCAAGAATTCCCTTCAAGTCCAAGAAACTGAGTTCTATGGAATTAATGAAGGAGCAAAAACTAACAAGTTTAAAATTCTCAATCTAACCCACCAGTTTCACTAGCAGACGAGAAAAAACTGGGATAACTGTAGCTTTAGACCACTAATTCTGAGAGGGAAGACAGAAACCAACAAAAATATGCCATTCATACCTGAACAGCACATTAGGCTTTGGAAGAAGTGAAGTCATTTCAACAATGGCTAAAAAACAAGCAAACTAGAAATCACGCTTCAAGGATCAGGGCGTTTCATCTCAACCAAAGGCATTATCAGACAGGGGTGCAGAGCAGCCAAAGGAACACAGAGAGCATCTCTAACTGAGGGAACAAGCAATTAGATTTTTTCCCCCCACCAAAATATGCTCTGATTCAGATTTTTGAGACTATGAAAGGATTTGTCATTTGCTAAAAGGGCTCCTTTTACATTCTGAAGGGAAAGCACCGGCTGTAAACACCACTGTCACGCTCTGGGCCCTGGGTGCGTGTTGGTGAGGATACCTCCAGTTGTGCTGGCTGGAGAGTCACCAGAGCTAGAAACCTGGCTGCTGCTTCAAATGACACTCACACAAAACGCTGAAAACTCTGTGCTGTCATGTTCCTTTACCATCTTCCAGGCTTTGTGTCCTCTAGGAACTGAGCAGGGGAAGTTGCAATCCGTTGCATCTGGGTGTAACTGCAGTTTAACCTGGACCTGTGACACTGGTGCCATTTGACAAAGGTGATGCATCTAACACTTCAGCACACACCAGTGCACCACTCACCTTAGCTAGCCTGATAAAAGCTTGTTTTAATGATCTGAGTGATATACAGTAATTCAGCTGGCACATACTCGGGTGCCGGTCAGCCAGTAAACTTCAGGCTAAGTCAGCCTTGTAGCAAGTAAATTTACAGTACAGTACGTGACAGTACACACTGACTAAGTTATTGCCTAAGGCTCCGGGCAGGCTTTGCTCCCTGCTCTGGAGCCAGCAATGGCACAGGACTGTGTTGCCATCTTGGAATGTACAATTGCTTGGTCTGAGCATCACCAGGAGCTGCCCACGTGGGACGGAGACTGAGCCCCTAGTCCAGCTCCATGGACTGGGGCTGGCTGTGCCTCAGTGAAGCACACAAGAAAGGTCAAACCAGAGAGGATCCCTATGAACACGCAGTGTGGGACCAACCCAGAGCAGCTGCCATTCTTGCATGAACTGTATGTGGAGCTGATATGAAATTTTATAAATTGATTTATTTTTTTTTGTAAATAAAAGTGCTCTCTGTTGCTCTGGCTCCATGATCAGAACACCACCTACAGTTTTAAGAATCGTTACATATCTGTATTGTTTAAGTGAACAACCACCTTTTCCCTCCCTCTTCGTACCTCCTCTCTTCTCCCTTCCTGCTTCTTCCTTTGCCCTTGCCCTGTGCTGCTTGCTGTTGTGTTAAATATGAGATCAGGCAAACCCCAAAGGCCAGTTTACATATTTATGTTTTGTTTTTGCAGATCTCCATCACAGATGGAATTTTTGCTGGTCATTTCTTGGAAGCAATCCATTAGCAAGACAAACCAAAAGAAGAGAGGGCAGTGAAAGCAAACCCCATGACAGAGACGGAGGAAAGAAGAATCAATAAACAAGCAGAAATCAGTTTTCCACCGGGGTGGGGTTTGCTAAGGGCTGGCTCACGATGACTTGCACCACGTAGTCCTTTGGGATTTTCAGCTCCTCCAGTTTCATTTTGTCTGCCAGCGGCCTGCCCGAGAAGAACCAGCGCTGGCTGCCCGGCTCCTCTCCCTCCACCGCGTGCAGCCGCCTCTTCATGTGGTACACCGTGTCCATGCTGCGGACCATCAGTTTGAGGTCTTTGCCTGTGGACAGGCGCAAGCGAAGCTGGCATTCGTGCCCTGAATTGGGTGGGGGATCAGGAATATCCAGAGTCTCCAGGTCGCCCTTCTCCTCTATCATGTTGATAGGTGGGGCAAGGCAGTAGACGGGAAGCTGGTACCGGTTGCCCAGTTCATCGTAACACTCTGTAAGAGCACCTTTAAGAGATAAGAGGGGAAAAAAACAAAAGAAAGAGTATGAATGCATTTCACATTTGACACAGATGCGGTCACACTCAGAAGTGCTGACCCTGCTGTTAAACCATGTGAACAATGAGGTTGAATTCAGGCTTTAAAGAACTGATACAAAAAAAATCTCAAGTTTTCATTAAAAATTGCTTCACTTTGTTTTCACATGGAAACTTGTGACTGACTTAAAAGCACCCCCTAAAAGCCAAAAGGCAATCCTCCCTCCAGATAAACTAGGATAAACTTCAAAAGCAGCAGGAAGGAAGAGAGAAGGGAGGATGATTTTCTCCCCATGTTGATTAAAAGTGGAGTATTCCCCCAGCAGCACAGCCTGAGGTTCAAGGTACAAGTACACCCAGAAAACACCGCTTGGATAAATGACACGATCCTGCACACGAGCTCTGAAAAGGCAAAATGGCAAAGACCAAAGGCAAAAGACCACTGTAAAAGAAAGATTTTGTAACTTCTCAGTCAAAAATTGCGGAAATGGTTTCATACAGGACTCATGTTTTAGTGATCGCTGCCAGATCAAACAGACACGACCACCCAAGTCGGACAACTCTGCGGCTCTGCACGGTGCGTGGTGTCACCGCCAGAGCAATGACACCCAGCACACACTTTATGTTTGCACAGCATCGAATTTTTATTTCCCCAGGCTCCTGAGAGGTTCCTCGGGATGATCTCGGTGTTTGCATTAAGGATGCCCAGGCAGCGGTGTGCTGCCTCGCACGCAGCATTCCTCCTTCCCGAAATGGTTCAACGCGCACGGAACAGCTCAACAATTACAACACTTACTGAACTAACAAATACAAGCCGACTTTTTCACCGTATAAGACACACTTCATAAAGATATTTCAAGAATGACCCTGGAAAAATGGCAGTACATTTTTCATAATGTGTTAAGAGTTAAAGTAAGAGAAGCCTGAAAGCAGAGCCCTGCTTCATACAGCACATGTCACCTCTTGCAGCGAGCTAGGAAACAGAGATGCTGATGAAGCTGCATCCTAAATCACAGCAGAAATCCCTGCTCAGTGCGGTTAAGAAAACAGAGACTCACACTCCAACCAAATGCTTCTGCTTGTCTTGGATTTACCTACTACAACAAATTTCCACATTTTTGCCCCTAGAGGGGGCACATTCACTTGCAAGATTACCCATCCTTCTGTAGTTGGAAATGTTTGAAGAGTAGCCAAGTCCTTGAGCTACAGAATATTTAAAAAACTTCTTTGACTCGGCAGTTCTGTACACAACACCCAACTGGTCCTTGTTAGAAACTAAGAGTGGTTTTTTTAGTTGGAGGTTTTTTCATGCTGACTTAAGCTTTGCTGTTTGATCAGCAAAATTACAGCAATATAGAATTGTAACTTGGGGATATACTGTGTCACTCAGCCCACTGTGACAGTAGCATCTTGTCCTGGAGATTTTCCTTCTTTTAGACAGAAGCCTCCCCAACCCCACCCTGTTTTTAAGGACAATTTGTGTTGATGAAAACACCCTTTTTGGCTAAAACATCAATGTTTTAGGTGCAACTGCTTTTGGAGGCTTTCCTGTTTGTACCAGGGTAGAACTAAGGCTGCTATGCCCTGAGATTTATTGAGAAAACAAAAAAAGGAAATCCAGAAAAATACAGTTATACCATTCACTAGAGTCTTGTATTTTTTATGAATCTCAGAGCAAACCAGCTTTTATCAAAACTGTATTGGATCCATACCTTTCATGGTACTTTGTGATTTACAGACTAAGGTGTCTGTATGCTCCCATACTCCAGTTCTGTTTTACAGTGTTCATTTCATTCTGTACGCCTGATCAATTTAGTAAATGTCACAGTACTAAATTCTGGATCACAGTTTACAGAAATGAACAGATGTAGTTTGCTGCTAAAAAAAATAAAAAGAAAAATCCAAACTTCAACAGCCTTTAAATTTAGCCAGAATAGCTAAACTTGTATCTTTCTTTAAAAGCCATGCTTCTTTAAAAGAACTTAGAATAGCGTATCAAAGAGTTAATTTTAAATACAATGGGCTAAGCTTGCTGAGGAATTTCTTCAGCATTTGAAGCTGAACCAACATCAAGGTTAAAGCATATGCTATAAACAGTGGATTGCTTAATCATAATCAGATAAGCGATATTAAAAAAAAATCCTCTGAAACAGCAGCTAACTTGGAGGTCTGTCTTTAAAAAAAAAAAAAGACACAGTAGAGGAAAGAGTTTATAACAAATTGTTAACACAACAAAAGTTCCCCATAAGCCTCACCAGTAATCCCATTCTGGTAAAAACATCCCTAAGATTCTCAAGCCCTCTTGCCTACCACTCACTGGTGTTACTCTATCAAGGCTGGATACATGGATTAAAGCACAGAAGATGACCACTGCAAGCAGAAGAGACTTTCTGACAGCACCACCTCCTCGCCGGCACACCTGAAGGCCACACCGGAGCTCCAAGGAGCGTCAGCAGCTGGTCCTCACCTCCAAGAGCCGTGGAGCTCTGCACACACAGCCCGGTCCTCTCCAGCCAGCCCATTCCTGAAAAAAAGGTGATCTTTGCAGAGGGTCGGGCTCGGCTACAACCTTCAGGATGTCAGAAATGGCAACAAACTCAAAAGCAGAGCGTGAAGGGGCGTCACGGTGGTTGGAGTTCACACTCGCAACGATGGCTGAGTGCGGTGACCAAAGGCACCATGAGCGTGGAGCTACTTTAAGCGATTGCAAGCAAATACAAGTTATCGGAGAGGAAGAGAGAAGGTGGTTGAACTACCCGAAGCCACCACAGCAAGGCCTATCTCACCAGCCAGACGGCAGCTCCTCACCAAGGCATTTGCTGCAGCGTCCCTTACCCAGCGCAAAGCACGCAGGAAATTAAACATCCCAACTGCAAAGCCCTTTGTAATTTTGCTGTTATAATTGAAACCCATGTTTCTGATCCTTCCTGCAAGATACATCAGTTTAGGTAACAAAAATTATTCAGCAACATTAAAAGAACGTCAAGCTTTTATGAGAAAGCACAGAGAAAAAAGAAAAAAAAAATTTTTCTTTTTTAGGTTTCCCCGTTACCTAGGCAACAAGGGTCCTCACCAGCCAGTTACAGCATAGGAAGGATGCAGCCTCCCTTAAAGTGGAGAAGGAAAAAGCAAGGCAAACAGAGACTTTGCAAAGAAACCACGTAAGAGGGGCAGATATCAGGAAGAAAACAGCAGAGGTTGGGTAGCATGAGGTTTAGGTAGACGATTCTGCATAGTACATGAAAGACCAAGATGTTATAAAAAGATCCTACACCGATATTGAGGTGAGGACAAATTAAGCTTATCAATAATACATATACTTGAGTATTCTTTGTGTATTTAAATACTGCTCTAGATGTTGACAAGACTTTAATAAACTCAGACACAAAACATCCTGGCAGCAACATGGAGAACTGCCTCTGAGAAAGCCAATGACAGAACCCACCCACCCAAACTCTAATCCCCTCTAACTTTCTGTCATTCAGAATTAAGGTGCCATGGCACACACAGAGGAGGGCTTTAAGGATCTCATTGACTGATTCGTTATTCTGAAAATTTCCCAGTTAAAAGACTCCACTGCCAAGCAAGCTCTAGAGTCATTCAGTATCTATGCTGGAACACAGTTACATAGTTAACTTCATAGGTTTGGATCAGGTCAGACACAACAGAAGATACAGTTCTAGAACCACAGTGGATGGAATTATTTTAATATTTCAAAAGTAATATTGTCTTGGAGACTGGGGAATTCGGGAAGGAACTGTGAAGCAGAACTTCTTGTTAGTTGTTATCCAGGTAGGAGACAGCTTGAGAGTTTCAGGCGGAAAAATAAGCAGATGTGATCATCATCAAGCATGCAGAATGGGAACATTTTGAAATTAATTGCCCTGCAGGCCATAAAACTTTGTTTTACTGAGATTATCAAGATGGAGATATTTCTCTGGATTAGTAAGGGAAAACATTAAGAAGGACTGGTTGAGATACTGCTTCCATCCCTAAACAGTTCAGAGTTTGGACTTAATTGTCCTTCCGCGCATGAAACCGCCAGCAATTTAAGAGACCTAAATGACACAAAGGTAAACTTTTGCACAAGTTACTGAAATCAGGCATATATGACCACATTGATCAAAAACCGTAAGAAGTTTTAATGCATTTTAATGGCATTTTTGGCATTTCTTCGAAGCTGCGTACCACTCTCTCTTCAGAAGTAGCAAATATCTTGCTCTCTGTTTATGAACGTGCCTTCTATTTCATTTAAGATTTTCAGCAGTTTTGAGAAGGATTGCTCAAAAATGCCCACAAGTTAAAAACTGAGCAGATTTCTATCTCTTCTTCCCTTCCCCCAGACAGACTTGCTGCAGGAAGAGAAATTAAGACAACATAAACCAAAATCTAGCATTGCAATGAGACTAGCTAATTTAAGGAGCTTAAGTGTCTGTGTATAACACATTTGCCCAAGGAACAGCTGGTTCATTTGTTTTTCATACTGAAAAGCTCCATTCCAAACCCAACTGAGCCTGCATTGCTGAATAAATTGGCAATATTAGAGCTTTCACCTGTAAACTATTGGCTTGAATTCGATACAGGTCATCAATGCTTGAAACTCACTATGAGCATCAGAAAACAAGTGGGTCGTCTTCTGGGTCCTACAATGCAGCCATTCCTAGAGAGCAATGACTGAGGCAGAAAAGCTGAACTATCTCTTCATCTTTATTAGCTGCCAATTCCAGGGCACAGCTGGGAAACACAGGATCTTATAAGAAAAAAAAATGTGTACTGACGTCAACAGCATGCGAGAGTGGTGAAGGGTGACTTTGCTCAGTACGTGAACAGGATTGAGACAAGTGAAAACATGCAGTGCTTTGTTCCAGCTCACCTACAATCACCACTAACTGGGAGGAGTTAATAGAAAAAAAGCTCTTTCACATTAAACCCCATATAACTTCATAATGACTGAAACGGCTTAATGCTGCA